GATAAATCTGGAAGTCATGTTGTGAAGACTGGTATGACATGACTGACACAAAGAAAGGGAAAAACAAGAATAAAGCTTGAAACTGGCACCTTTTCTTTTAATGCACCTTCTCTCTTTGACTACTGGATACAAAGTAATGCAAACAGAAGTGCATTAGGATATGTCTACAGGCTCTGGCTTCTCCAGAGTTCTACAGAAAGAGGATAGAAGCAACAAATTGTAGAGAAAAAATGGCATAGCAAGAAACCCAATAACAGATCTGTGAGGATGATGAAGTCATATGTAGAATAAATTCAGAAAATGAACAGGGTCTTGTATGACTAAGAATAACGAGCGAGCTTCTGTATGCTTTAAGGCACAAACTGATGGCATGGCTGGTAACTTTAATCAGGCGAAATGCTCATTGTAATTGGCTTAAATAAAACTATCTGGTCTGGCCCACATGCATTTAGCCAGGACATTCCAGTTAATTAGCATCAGCCAGAAATCTCTCTTTCCTGTCCATATGGAGTTTGCATTTTGAGAACTTGAGGAGGTGGTGATGGCAGAGAAGAGGAAGATGGGAAGGATGTTGTTTTTCTTAAGCTACAGACATCTACCACTGGTCAAAAGAGAATGTAAACCACAGTTCCTCTTTAAGGCCTCTTTACAGGCCATTACAAATTGCTTTGTAATAAACGTAAAATGCTTATTTCTGAAACTAGTAATGTTCAGCATGTTAATATTGAAGCTTTAACAGTAACCGAATCTTATAGTAAAAAATACTAGTAAACCCTGCCAAATTCTTATTCTTATCATTAGAAAGTCTTTGCTCATATATTTAAGATAAAGAAATTCTGTCCATCTCTAAACTTGGGCAGCTTTTATGTATGAACTGCTCCTTGACTGCTCTCATGCCTTGTTTAGCTGTGTCAAATGCTGGATGTATTGTTCTGGTGATCCACGTATGTTCATATGGCAGCTGGTTGGCCTGAAAAATAATCTGCCAGAAAACAATTCAGATCTGAATTTCCAGACTTTAACTGCTGTATGGTAAAGTGCCCAGACTGCTCCTACCCTGCAGCAAAGTAGTTGTACCCTTTTTCATTTAATTAAATGTTATTCATTCAAACTGAATGAAAGAGCAGCATCCATTTGCTGCAGGATATATATGCACACAGACAATTATGGCTTAGCTGTCCAGTCTGTGCAAGTCCATACTTCAGTTTACCTCCTGACAGTGTGTTTACAAGACCACATCCTAAAGATGGTCTCAAATTTAGAATGAATGTGTCAGTCAAAGCATCCACTAACCTTGTGAAAGAGTAGAACAATATTCCCCTTTTTCACTGAGTGTCAAAAACCTTTCTTTTCTGCTACACCTTTGATACAGTATTCCCATCAGTCACTTGTTCTCTAGGTTTTAACAAGAGGCACAAAACAGCACTTATTTTTTTCTCTAAGCAAAGACAAATCTCAAACTGTCCCTGGATGACTCCCTCCAATGAGGCTATGACTCAGGTTTCATTTGTTTCCTGTCCTGGTGTGCTCTCTTTTGACACATCCACAAGTTTAGTGATGCCTGGAGGAAACAAACAGGTCGGAGCTGGGATTTCTCAAAATTTGTTTCATTTGTCGATAAAAAGCCAGTAAAGTATGGCCTCTATAGGGAGTAAAACATCTGTTAAATCTACAAAATGTAGAGCCTTGTGGGTAGAGCTCTGCAAAGACACGCATCCTCGTAATTACTCATCATAATTATTCATCAGTAGCCAAATATCTGCTACAGCAAGAGTAGAAGCAGGGTCTTGCCTGAGAAGAGCGTGAACAAACTCAGGGAAAACAACTCTCTGCAACCTTGTAAGTCCTTACACCATGGCTCTGTGATTGATCTTTTCAATCATACTTGGCTTTCCTTATATGCAAATAGTAAGGCAATCGATCACTGGGAGACCTAAATCTCAAGATTTCTACGGTACCTCATTATTATTCTTACCTGCTGGACGCTACTTTACTTCCTACTGCTTTCTTCTCCTTTTAAACTATGTTACAAAGGTAGAGCCTCTTGGCAGCTTCTGATGAATGCTTTAATGAACGTAAAAGTGAAACATGAGAGAAAGTATTTGGGAAGTATGCACTGCTATGGTACAATGAATGATAAATATTCACTGTAATTATAATTTGTGTGTAATAATAGGCTATATGGCCCAGAAAGTTGCTTTTTAAGAACCTGAAATTTAAGAGCTTTATCAAAAGGTTTTAAAATATTGAAATGGTTTTAGGCTACAAGTAATTCAGAGATCACTCATTAAGACAGAAAAGAATGCTTCTGTTATTTAGAGAGAGGTATTTGTATTTCACTTCTTTTTGCCTCTGTTTCAAGAGGCTTGTTGATATGTGACATACATTTACTGCTGACACCATGCTTGCCTACCATACTAAGCAGTTAAAGAAATAAGAGAAAAATTACACTTTCTCATCCTAACCTATTTTCAAGACAATTTAGTACAATGGAAAGCTTTCACTTAACTATAGTTTCAGAGAATGAGACAGAACACTTACTGATACCTTTTAGCAGCACTTACAGATACTGTAAAAATAAAAAGCTCCAGCAACAGAAGAAAACCAAGAAGTTGCTTTTAGGAAGCAATAGCACTTACCTTCTTTTCATTCAAATACATGAAAAATGCTATTTGAAAAAGCAGATATTTACTTCTGTTAGTGTGAGCGAATGTAAATACTTAGAAATATTTATCTGTTTTATTACCATAAATGACAAAAGTAACACTGTCCAGTTACTCTTGGGAAATGCTTAAACAAACAAGTATGTGTATAAGTGAGTGGGTTAAATGGTACCACACAGAAAAACTGTATCTGGAAAAGGCATCACATACACCAAGCCTGGAAAACATCTGAGACATCACAAAGATGAACCTGATGGTTAGCAGGAGTTTATTTGGGATAACTGAGATTTAGTTAAAATCTTGGCATTTAAAAGTTGTTTACTTCATGAAAATAGATTTTTTCAAATGTATACAAATATGCTATATTTGACTATCTTGGAAACAATTAGAGAATTCAAAATTTAGAGTCCAGAAAAGGTATTTATCTTTTGATAGGGGCTAGCTGAGAGATGTTTCTATGAAGAGAACAGAGTAAGTAAACTGTGAGAAATGCTTTGCTGTGTCATTCCACACATATTCAGCTGCACTTGGGGAAGGGATACAAACTCCCCTCTTCTGTAAATAGAATAAAAGTTTAAAATGAGAGGACAATAAGATCCCACACCTTCTCTCCCATATCTCAGCTGATTTGTCAGAAATGCTACCTCAATTCCTGTGGCAGGGAGTAAAAAGACACCTGAGAAATTCCTTATCTGAGTGATTCCTTGGTGTCAATTTTCACACTGTCAGATGTTGGCATTTTTACTCAAGTACTCCAGTAATTTATTTATTTGAAGGGTTTGGCAGCCTTCAAATAGTTTCTTTACAAATGCTTCAATTCTTTGCATGGTTAGGGTTATCACTTCTTAACTTAAGAATGGCAAATCTGATGGCCTGGTGCTGTAAACTGGGATTTCTTCATCTGGTGGAGAATAAAATAATGAAAAATGTAAAAGACTGGAGTATGTATGGCCCAATAATATAAATCCACAGGAGAGGTAGTACTGAGATTAATTCCCAACAGTGGAAATTACATATTTATACTGTTTAAAAGCTAGTAAAAACTCACTACTGGAAATAGTTTTGTTGAGTTTTGCCAACAGTTCTGGACTGCCATGTTCAAAAAAGATGAATTTGTATCAAGGATGTGTGCAAAGAAAATCTGCAAGACTGGTAAAGGGAAAGAGAATTCCAATCAGGTGAACAATCCTTGACTTAGGCACTAAATGAATACAAAAAGAGGTTCCCAATCCCCCCAATGGCAATACACACTCTGTCTCTAAAACCAAATACTTATGAATAAAGAAAAAAAACCCAAGTATTCTATAAGGTAACTGACAGTAAAGGTTTAGTAACAAGTTATATATAGTGACCACTTGAACTAAAAATTGAAGTAAATAGTTGTGTTTTTAGAAAATGCTGCAGAATGTTGTTCTTTGCTTTGGTAGGTCATTGTAGCCTGCATTCACTATATGGATGCAATTAAGGTAAGTCAAGTTTGTGTCTGAAACAAGGACAAGCAGAAAATGACAGAAAGTGAAAATGAATCTCAGGGCTATAATCTGTATTAGCATGCGAGTACAGGCAGATCCTTGAAAAGTAATTACAAGATATGACTCAACTCAATTTGACAGGTGAAATAAAGGGCAGGCATGAAAAGAAGAAATGGTAAATGGAATCTCATTTTATCTATCCAATTTTAAGCTAAAGAGCAGTACACAGAAATATGAACCTCATGGAAAAAGAGCAGAAAAACAAAGCAAAACCAGCTTTCCTTACTCCTACAGCAGCTTTCCAAACCCTGTGACAGATGAAAATGAACTGCAATGCTGATGTGAGACAGACTTAATTCTATGCCATCATGAATATGGGACTAATGTTCTACAGAGCACCCCAGGCACAACAGAGAAAGATTCCCTTACAGGTTATGTGTATCTAATTGTAAAGCATTGTCCAAAATTCAGGCCTTAGCTAACCAAGACTGTCAGGAATTCCACTGGACAGTAAAAAAGCTATAGATCTTCCCACTAATAAACACATTACAGGATTAATCAAATTTTCTGTTGATTTATGATTGTCTTTGATACTGTCCTGAATAAATTATTAATCTGAGGTGCAGTTATATGCTTGATACTGACTTTTCAACACACAACTCTTTTCATACAAAGAAGAAGTCACCAAATTATTAAAAATGGAAAATAAAATCTCCTTGAGAGTAATGTACACTCTTCATGACATACACATGAATTATTTCTATATAAAAGATAACATTCAAGATGGAATCAACACTTTAACTACAAAAAAATCTTTTCACTGCAATAAAACAAGTAGCCACATAAAACCCCAATCTACAATTACCTGGTTGGTAGAAATTTGGTGACAGTTCTCTGGCAACTGCTCTTGCAATATCACATTCCTGGCGAGCAGCCTGAGCAGCCTGATCCGCAGCATCAGCTTTAGCTCTTGCATGTGCGGTTCTGTACAAAGCAGAAAACAGTTTATATGCAGAGGAGTCTTTTATCAGTTGCATTAAGCATGTGAGAGCAAAGGACCTCAGCTATCGTACACTATCCTATATAGTCTTAGGACAAATTGTTGTGAGGAATTGCAAATCAGTGAAGTATTTCAGGACCAAATCACTATTCCTCTTAGCTCATCAGTGCTGTTCATCCTTGGATCATATTTACTTTCAGGAACACAATTTACAGCCCAAGCTTGTAATTAAAATTTCTACATAGAAGGGGAGAATAGCATCTGACAGAAACATGGGATTAAGATTCATTTACATGTTACCAGAATGTGTACAGAAGGTCAGACTGGGCCACCACAGTGACTCCTAAACAGGGTTCTGGCATTTCAGGACACATGGTGTTCAAAGAGACTGAGGAAAGCTACTACCTTTACCACATTTAAAAGTTTATGCTGGGTCAATGCTGGGTGCCATGTAAAAATTTCTGAAGGACAAAATTCAAGTACACTAGCCCAAAAAATAGGAAATGTCTACCACAATCAGATCATGTTGGTAAGGAATAGCTTGGAAAATGTGTTTAACACTTCAATAGGCATTTGTAGAAATGGGGACTTAATTGTCTTAAATTCTTGTAACTCAATTTCAAATCCAAAAACAATCCGAAAAGGCAGCTTTTCTGTAATCAACACAACAGTGTGGAATACTTTGGCAAAGTAATCTACATTCCACTCCTACTTTTTCCCCTCTTGCTATTTCTCAAAAACCCCCAAGAACAGCTTGTGCAAAGGCCTCTGATTCCAGACTGCAGACTGATAGCTGTGTTACTGCAGGTTTCTGTCACTGCTTGTCCCGTCTTCCCTCACCACTTCATTTTCCAAACAGTCATCTGTTTAAAAATTCCTGATGGCAGTGATCTCTCTGTGCCTTCACAGCATAGGCACACAGCCTAGAGCTATGAAATGGCTCGTTAGAACAGAGGCAAGCTGAACATGGCAAACCAGCAGAATATTTTGAGACTCTAAAGATATCACCAAAGTTTCTATAACAAATATGATAAACTTCATGCTCTCATCATTTTTCTCATAACGTTCTAGTAGAAAACTGACACAGAAGTAAGAAAAGAATTAGTTAACAATAGCACCAAATTTTATCCCGTGTGCCTGGAAATAGCAATGAATAGCAATTGAATAAATGAAAATTTCTAACAACTTCACTGTAAAAATTCAGTTTTATTTTAAAGACATAAAGAAGGGTTTGATGTATTTTAGACAAAAGAAGAATAAAATGTTAGCATTAACCAGAATGAGCATCAAGAGATTAACAGTATGGCAGACTTTGCATTTCTAAAAGGATGTTTAATCCCGTAGGGTACTAGTATAAACACAGACATAAAAAAACCACATAGACAGTTTCATCTGTGGTGCCTGGAGAAGATTTATTTAAGTTACATCCTCCCTAAAATGTGTGTGGGGATAAATGTTGAATGTTCTTTCAAAGCTTAGCTTGTCATAATTTACTGGATAAATATTAGCTTATGCTGCCTTCTTGCAGGTCCACCCAGGTCTGTGAGAAAAAAAGATAATGAGCAAATGAGTTGTAACACCTTGGCTTTGTACTCAGGATGGGAGAAAGAAACTGTTAATAAAAACAAATACACTGTATAATCCCATATGTGTTCTGTGCAGTTCATGAATGGGTGCACGGTATGTGCTTGCCTAGTAACAGTAATCAAACCCGTTCTTTCTCTATAATCATTATTTTCAATTAGATGAGCTATTCTTAGCTCCTGCATAATTATGTCTATGTAGCATAAACTTAATGAAGCAATCCTAGCGCTGGGACATTGTTTTGTGAGACAATAATGTAGTCTGCTCATAGATAAACTAGACACTGATCATCTTTTTGTGATGAAAGAACAACCAGACTACTCCCATATAAAAATAGCCTAATACTATTGTTACTGCTAAGACAGACATTTTAAAAGCTGATATACTAAATAACCAGGAAATACATTCATACATTCATTTATTTGTTGATGCCTATGAATTTTCTATATTATTATATACAAGAAGCAAAACAGACATTCTGTTGAAAAGCACAGTATCAATTAGTTAAGGAATTAAATGGTGACACGAGTAAGAAGGCAGTAACTTTGTCACATGAAGCTGGGCAGAGCAGGTCACAACAGGAAGAAGCCAAAGGAACAGAAGGTAAATGAGCACAGCTTTCCTTGGCTGCCTTATCTCACACCTCTTTTTTCAGCTCACACTTCCTGCTATTCTGCCTGTTTCTGTACTCTCAGTGAGGAGTCCAGAAGAGGAGCGAGCACTGCCAAGGCCTGTCCTAGCAGTGAGGCGCAGGAGCAGAGCCTCAGCGCCAAGAGACGATGCTGCCAGAGGAACTAACCAGCTCTGGAGGGCAAGGCACAAAAACATGTTTGTGCTCCTGAGCAGGCCTTGGACAACCACACTGAAGCGTGTGCAGATGCCTGTGCTGAGACACTTTCCTGACAGCCTCTTCACCGCTGACGAGCGGCGACACAAGTGACAAGAACGGGAGGAAGCGGCAGAGCTGATCCTTCTGCACAGAACAGCAGCTCTGTGCCCTGCCTGGGAACGCAGGCTCTTCGCTTGGTGCAATTGTTTGCTATGTATCGCCTTGGCATTTGGATGCTCTACTGGAGAACTTCAGCAATGCCTATTTTATCATCTCCATTTGCAACTGCATACTTAGATAATTTTTTAACTTCTTGCACACTTAATTCTAAGTGTCAGACTCAAATATTTTTTCTGTTGCTGTTTCTTTTCCTGGTTTTTTTATTATTCTGACTTCCACGTTTGATCTGCCTGTACGTTTTCCAGATGACTTGCTTACAATTACTGCTGCTTGATACTACATTTTGTCTGTACTTGTTTTATTCTGCCTTGAAGTGACCCGCACGCTATCAGACTAGTACTACCAGAAATTATGGAGAAATATTTTAGTTTTGAATGATGATGTTTATAAAGCAGAATCCAAGCAGAAATAGAATCCATTTGCTCCATTTACACTTGACACAGTTTTGGAAAGCTTTCTTTACCTTTCATTTCAGAGGTAATTTTGTCACTGTAAGGTCTCCAAGTTTTGTTTGCTTACAGCAATTATTCATATAAATTTGAAGTCTATGATATATCATGTCAAAATGACCCATAACTGAATCTGAATGACCACCATCTACTTGAGAGCCATTTTTTTCTCCAGGGAACTCTATGTCCTTTGCTATGACAAGAGATCTTTATGAGAACTCTTGAAAGCAAAATTTGAAAAAAAAAAAAAAAGTCTCCTTTCCTCTCCCCAGCCAAGAAAAAGACTGTGGTAGGTTTTTTCCAGGAAGGATTGATCTCATGTTTCAGCAGCAAAACAGAAATTATGCAGGAAAGAAGGCAGCAATCCACAGATTGCAAAACAGTACAGAAAGATAAGTAACCTGTTTTGCAATACTGCATTCAGATTCTAATCCATAGCAAAGGACCTTTAACAATTTTTTTAAGTGAATAGGTGGTTCTTGGTAAAAATTATTTCTCAGCAACTGTAAAATCTAATACACGCTAGTAACTTTTGAATTACTGTGTGGTTATATGTGTATTTCTCCTGGAAAGTATCACGACTATCATTACTATTCCACACTTGAATGCTTTCAAATGAATATAAAAATTAAAGTATTTACCAAAATCAACTCATATTTAGAGGGACACTCTACCACTTCACTAATGAATGCACAGAGGTAAAATTCAGTGAAGACTGGGGCTTCAAATTAAGTTGTATCTCTGGCAGGAATCAAACTGTACTTAAATTAAAAAGGAATTTATAGCTATAGCTCATAGGGAGTCCCGGTACCACATGGCAGCATGTGGAGTCCCTGCAGACACCTGGCAGACACCAGTCTCTGTGACCAGTGAGTGAGGGCTGGGGGACCAAGGCCTGACTGAAAACCTGAGAAACTACATACCAGGGTCTGGTTTTCAGAGCAGTCTAAGTTTTCTAGACTGTGAGACAACTAGTATTACTACTGATATCTTTCTTTTCTGTGTTTCTCCAGGTAGGTGAACAGGAACACATCATATTAACTACACACAAAAAATTCTAAACACAGAGCCAGAGGCTTCTAACAAGCAGCTCCTCTTTCAGCAATACTATGGTCAGATTTCTATCTATTTATGTATGAAAAATAACTTGAAGGAGTGCTGAGCCTTGAAGAGCTTAAACAATATTATCTCCTTTTCTGCAGCAACAATGCTTATATATAATGCCATGTGCCTGGAATGCATTATGCAACGTTCATCTAAATTTAAAACCCATTTAGAACTGTTCATTACCCTCCAGATTATTTTGTATTTCTACGGTATCCTTCAACACACTTGTAATGCTGCCTCACTCACAGTCAACTAAAAATGTAAGCAGCATATGTTTACTTTGTTTCATTTTTCAGATTTTATTAAACACATTGAATCCAACATAAAGCTTTCCAGGAGCTTGCTTTCTATTTCTTAAAATTATAAAAACAATTTTGCTTTACATTTGCCAAATATATGACACAGAATTATGCTCCTATTACATTATCCTAAACTAATAATATTTACAATATTAAATTAACAGATTTCCATATTGTAAGAACAAAAGTATCAGTAATGGCCAAACCTACATTAAGTTATCTAGAGATTTTTTATTAATGACAGCTATCAGGTTTATCTGTGTAGCATTACATATTGTGTATAACCCATAACCATCCTTCTTGAAACTCGAATTCTCCAAAAACAATCCTACCTTCCTAAATTCTAAAATGTTGTGATTGTTCTAGGAAGCAGAGAGTATTGTGTTGAGTTTTTTTTCCAGGTATAAAACTTTCCAGCATTTTCACATTTGTTTCTATCTGTCAGAGAAAAACTTTGCAATCTGCAAAGCCAAGTTCTGGTAAAATTGGTACAGAGATCCATAGCATTTCCAGGTAAAATGTGCTGGAGAGAAAGA